GCACTCTCGCCTGCTCACCATTGCACTTCATACTGTTAGAACATATATTTATATGTTGTTAGCTATGCTAGGCTGTAGTGTGGCACTCCTTAGAGAGTTTTGTAGCTTTAGGTTTTCCTCTTGTACTTCTCGACACTCTCATCAATCCAATCACAGGCCTTGCTATTCTCCTAAGTCATGGCCTACTTAATCTACTATAATAACATGGATTTCTGAGCAGGTCCCACTGTAGGAGCTAACCTTCTAAATGGCCCATCGTTAGCTTTTCATTATGCCCGTTCGTTCTGCCCCGCCCTACCAAATCGCGCCCTGCTGTCCACTAGTGCCGCCCTGCCTAGCCGATCTCCCTGCTCTGCCCTATGTGCGACCCGCACGCGCCCTGCTCGTGCCACCTGCACGCACGCACATGCCCAACTCACGCCGTCCGCACTCGCGCTGCCTGCGCCCTACGCTCGCCCGACTCGCGCGCTGCCTGTGCTGACCACGTGCTGCCTGCGCAGCCTGCGCGCTGCCCGAACTGCCCGCTCACTGCTTGAACTGCCCGTGCCCTGCCTTCGCACGGCTTGCTCTGCCAGTGCTCTGCCCGCACGGCCCACACATTGCCCTGCACGTGCTGCCCGCTCCCTGCGCAGCCCCGCCCGTGCCCTGCGCCGCCCCGCCCGCGCCCTGCACCACCTGCGCACACCCTGCCCGCACTGCAGCTGCTACTAAGCTACTGCTGCCACCCGTGCCGTGCTGCCCTACCCCGCCTAACCTGCGCCGCCCTGCCGAGCCACGCCACCCTGCCGAGCCGCGCCACCCAGCCCGAGCTGCGCCGCCCTGCTGAGCCGCCGTACTTAGCCGCCCAATCGAGCTGCCTTTGTTGCCGCTCCTCCTAGTTCTTCTGTTGCTGCTGCCACTACTACTGTTGGTTGTTTAGCGTGGCTCCTCTGGGGGTAGTGATCGTTGCCCATACGTCGGGCGCACGGGTCCCCGAGCTGGTGACCCCTGCGGGAAAATTGGACACACTGAGTATCGTTGCTTCTGTCGTGTCGAGGATGCCTGGCGCACCGAGTACGGTGACGAGATTGGGATCCCCAACTGGTTAGGATTGCTCCAAAAGAGGGTTGATATGTTTGCTCTAGATTTTGATAAGATCAATGCTGCCCTGTATGCTATGTATGCTGGTTCTGCTAGTGCTGAGGGTAACTGTTACTTGTGTGTGCCTCCCGATCCTGGTATAGAGGCTGCTGCCCTAGGTGCTAGTGAGTCTGCTGCCCCAGGTGCTACTCCTGCTGATGCCCTGCACAGTTTCACATTTGACTCAGGCGCGTCACGCTGTTTCTTCCGAGACAGCACCACAGTCACACCGCTCTCTGCACCTATCCCAGTCTCTTTGGCAGACCCCACTAGGGGCCTTGTTGTTGCACGTATGTCCGGCAGTCCCTTCTGGCTCCCTTTCAGGCCTCCATCTCCCCTCGTTTTCTATGAACTTGGTGACTAACGCTATCCTCCAGGACGAGTTGGTCACTACCACTAATCTTGGAGGTGAGCGTGTGGCGATCTGTACATCCGCTCGGACTGGCCGCCACTCGCCACGTTCACATGGAGGCATGGGTCTTCTGTACACACTGACTATTCCGTCTGCACAGGTGGCTGAGTCAGGTCAGGTGACTACGTCGGGTCAGTTAGCTGTGTCGTTCTCGTATCAACTTCTCATGCACCAGACTCTCCTCTGGCACCACCGTCTTGGTCACCCCTCCCTGCAGCGTTTGCGTAGCATGCACTCTCGTCTCCTTGTCTCTGGCCTCCCCAGGTCCCTGCCCCCCTCCCGCGCTCGCTTGCACCACCGTGCCTTCACTGCATCGAGGGCCGGCAGCGCGCCGCTCCTCACTCCTCGTTTCCTCCGACCAACACTCCTTTGTAAACTCTCCATATGGACGTATGGGGCCCCGCCCGCGTTAGTGGAACCGGACCACGAGCGCTACTTTTTGCTGCTTCTTGACAACTAGACGTGCTACACTACGGTCTTCCCCGTGCGGAGCAAGGCGGAAGCCCCTAGTGTCTTGGATCCCTTGGGTCCACACTGTCCGTCGACAGCTCCACGCACGGTTTCGGCAGGACCTTCCGGTCCTGCGTCTGCACTCTTATTGAGGTGGTGAGCTTTCCTCCTGCCTCCTTGAGGCTTTTTGTCATGAAGAGGGCATCACCCAATCTCTCCACAGCAGAATGGGATTGCTGAGCGCTGCATTGGCTTGGTCATGGAGGTTGCTCACACCTTCATGATCCGTGTGGCTGCTCCCCATATTCTGTGGTCGTTTGCGGTCCAGTGTGCCATGCATCAGCTCAACTTCTGGCCCCATATCTTAGTGCCAGAGACCTCACCTACATTGCGCTTGACGGGGGAGGTTGTTGATGCGTTGGCGTTTCCGGCCGGGGGTTCGCATGCCCTTGTCCACGATACCATTGCGAACAAGCTCTCTTCTCGCACCATTTGCTGCATCTTCTCGCGTTGCGTCCTGTCCTCCCAGGACGTCACCTTTGACGAGTCGATTTGCTTCTACCGTCTCTACCCTCACCTTTACTACCCCCGTCCCCCCCCCTCTCTTCCTGGTTTTAGGTCCCCTCCCGGTAGACCCTCTTCCCCCACAAGGTCCTGCTCCCTCATGTGTGTCTCAGGTAGACCCACCCCCCTTGGTTGAGCCTTTGGAGGTCACCTCTGACACCTCTGGCCCAGCTGAGGGGGGTGACGCAGTTTCTGACGACACAGCGACCACGCACCGCTCGCCGCGCTTGGAGACCCCTCCTAGTATTCCACCTTGGCCGTCTTCGCCGCCTCTACAGCCTGTTGCTGTAGACACTGGTGCTGCTGGGGGTGGGGACACTGGGGGTGCGGACTGTTTGGGTGGTGCCACTGGAGGTGCTGGTTCTGGGGGTGCTGAGTCTGGGGGTGCTGAGTCTGGGGGTACTGAGCGTCCTAGTGGTGGTGGAGTCGTTGGTGCTATTGCTAGAGGTTCTGCGGGTAGCCAGCAGCAGCCGACTCGTCAGCTTAAGGCTCTCTTGCCACAACAGCTTTGTGAGTGGGTTACTCGATGGTTCCGCTCTGGTGGCGGCGCTGGAGGCATTCGTGCTTGAGCTCATGCGGCTGACGCTACTGGTGGTACTGGTACTGGAGGCGATGGAGCTAGAGGTACTGGAGGTGCACGAGGAGCCAAGCATGGAGGTGCTGGTGCATGAGGCACTGGAGCTGTCGGAACTGGTACTGGAGGTGATGGTGGTGGAGGTGCTGTCGGTGCTGTAGGTCTTGGTGCTGGAGCTACTAGAGCTGTCGGTGCTGGAGGCACTGGAGCTATAAGTACTCGTGCTGGAGGTGCTAGATCTGGAGGTGCTGGTGCTGGAGGTACTGGAGCTGGAGGCTCTTGTACCGTGGGTGCTGCACAGCGGCGACCATTTTTCTTACGGCTGTCGCAGTCGTCACTACCACGACTTGGCTCGGCACTTCACCGGGTTCTTGGTATTTCGTCGTCCACTGGCCTCACTCCTCCCTTACTATGTCCACTGCCTGACCCGTCTCAGACACAGTTACCACCAGACTCCCCACTGCCTGCACCTTCTCCTTACACTGAGTAGACAGAGTCCATGACAGAGCGTCGTGAGCCTGCGTCTCGTCCTGCCTCGCCTGTTCGCACTGTTTGTCATGCTCGTCGTGTTCCTCGTCCTCGTCCTCCACCAGTCCTCGGTGCTGACATTAAGACACTTCATCCTTCCTCTGTTCCACAGCGTGTTTCTCTACTGTCTCCTCCCGAATCCTCCCTTCTTGGCCTTCCTGACCCTGAGTCTGACATTGCTCGTGCTGCTAGTCCTACTACCACGTGTTTCCTGGCCACCCTCGTCACTGACCCTTCCTTTGTGTCCAGTGCTGCGTCTGCCTTAGTCACTGAGCTTGTTGACTTTGCTGCTGCCTGTCGTATAGACTACGTCGCGAGACTTGTTATTAATTCTGAGTCTGACTGTCCTCCGTCCGTCGGGGGTGAGCTTGCCCTCAACACTGACGTACTTCACGACAAGCAGTTTGAGCTCGAGTGTCTTGCGCTACTGTACCTTATCTCGCTTCCATGCTCCTTTGCTCAGGAGGAGACTCGGATGCTGTAGGCATCACCACCCCGCGCTTTTACGCTGAGGCGATCACGGGTGAGTACTCCTCTCAGTGGCAGGCAGCTAACGACGCATAAACGACTTCCTAGAAGTCCACAGACATCTACGTCGATGGAGCTCCCCCTCCTGGGGCGAACATAGTCGATGGCATGTGGATTTTCCGAGTAAAGCGGCCGCTGGGTTCTCAGCTTGTCTTCAAGGCGCATTACATTGCACGAGGCTTCAGTCAGCGACAGGGGGTCGACTTCTTTCCATACCTTCTCGTTCACCCCGAAGATGTCCACTCTTTGGGTGTTACAGCATGTTGCAGCACAGCGTGACTACGAGCTCCACTCGCTTGACTTCAGCATGTGAAGAAACTTAGGCTAGAATGTGTGATTAGGTCAAGAAGGGGGGTACAAGAAGAATGTCGAGAGAAATTCTGTACCCCCTAGTACTAACCCCCAAAATCCTAGATAACCTAAGCATGCATTTAACTTGACACACCCTCATAGGCGAAATGGGGGATAGCCAGAGCAAGCAGAGGTCACAAAGACCAATCAAGAGAAGAAACAAAACACAGCTCAGGGTGGATCACAAAGTCACCACACAGTCTGAGCACAAGCAAGAGGCCACAAGGCCAGTTCACATGCAGAGTTATAAAAGCACAAGCAATACAGTGATCACAACCTAGCAGGTGTAAGCATGCAGGCATATATATAAAGATCACAGTACAAGCAAGGTCAAGAAGTAAGCAAGTGAGGAAACGTAGGCACTAGGCCTAGAGCAATACAGAAGCGCTGATGGTCACCAGACGAAAGAGCCTAGGTGAACAGGTCAGCAGTGTTTGCCCGGGTGGCCACGTAAGCAAGACGAAGCTGACCACGCTACTGCAACTCTCGAGCAAGGAAGTAACGCAGAGCGATGTGCTTCGTTCTGTGCTCCAGTCTGTGCTCCTGACACAAGGTAATAGCAGCCTTGTTGTCGACGTACAAAACTGGAGGAGAACGAGGCATCTCCCCCATGTCGGTCAACAGGTAGGTGAGCCAGCGTAACTCCTGTGCAACCATGGCTGTGGCGTAGATCTCAGCCTCACAACTGGAGCTGAGAACAGAAGACGAGCGCGTAGACCGCCAAGAACCAAAGCTAGAGCCAAGGCTGAACGTGTAACCCTGTGACGACCGCTGTGTAGCCAGGTCGTCAACCCAAGACGCGTCTGAGTGTCCAGTGAGGACAACGTCACCCCATCCTCCAAGCACGAGCCCCATGCCCGATGTACTGCACAAGTAGCGTAACACCCTCTTAGCAGCCTCCCAGTGCTCTCGCCGGTGTCTCCCGGGCGCAACGTAGCGAGCTAGGATGCTAAGAGGGTACGCAAGGTCAGGTCGAGAGCAGGTCATCAGGTACATGAGGCAGCCCACAAGCTTTGGATACGGGCCACTCAACACTACGGACTCATCCGAAGGCAGAGCTGAGAGCGAGTGACCCGTAGCCATAGGAGTGGACTGCGGCGAGGACCAAGTGAAGCCGAAGCGCAGTAGGATCTGTTGCACCATGTGTGACTGAGTCAAGGTGATGGTGCGGCGAGCTCTGTCCCGGGTGATCTGCAAGCCAAGGTAACTGCGTAGCTCACCCAGGTCTGTGCACGTGTGTCTCTTCTGCAGCTCCGACTTCACAAGGGCGAGTGCCTCAGTGTCAGCAGTGGCAAAGACCAAGTCGTCGACGTACACGGGGATGTAGAACGGCGGCAGCGAGGTGTCGGTGCGCAGAAACAGCGACGGGTCAGCTGTCGAAGGAGCAAACCTAAGAGCCGCAAGTGTCGTCCTCAGTGTGTCGTGCCACTCACGAGGTTCCTGTCAGAGACTGTAGACTGGCCGGCAGAGGCTCCACTGGGTACCAGGAGGGAACGACCCAGTGAAGCCAGGTGGGCGGCGCAGCCAGATCTCCTCGTGCAGACTGCCCTGCAAGAAAGCTGTGCTGAAGTCAAGAGAGTGAAGCTCGTAGTCACGCTGAGCGGCAACGTGCAGCAGTACCCGAAGAGTGGTCATCTTCGGGTTGGGGGAGAAGGTCTGGAAGAAGTCAGCTCCCTGTTGCTGACTGAAGCCTCGTGCGACGTAACGAGCCTTGAAGACAGGCGGAGAACCCGGCGGCCGCTTCACCCTGAAAATCCACATGCCATCGACAATGTTCGCCCCAGGAGGGGGAACCTCGTCAACGTAAGTGCCTGTGGACTTCCAGGATGCCATCTTTGCGTCCATGGCTGTCTGCCACTGAGAGGAGTAGGGACCCTCTATCGCCTCTGCGTAAGAGCGCGGGTTCGGGATGTCCAGTGCATCCGGGTCTCCCTTAGGGGCAAGCAGCATGGCCACGAGATGAGGCAAAGCGGCGACAAGACACTCAAGGTCCTCCTGCCTGTCCTCAAGAACGTCCGTGCCAAGAGCACACTCACCCCCGACGGACGAAGGACAGACCCAGACCCAGCAACAAGTCGAGACGACAAGCAGCAGCAAAGTCAACAAGCTCAGCAACTAAGGCAGACGCAGCAGCTGACTCAAACGAAGGGTCAGTGACAACAGTGGCTAATAGAAGTGTGACAGTAGGGTGAGCAGCACAAACCAGGTCAGACTTGGGTCCGGAATGTCAGGAAGAGAGGAAGCAGGCAGAGACTGCAGAGGGATGCGCAGAGGAACAGAGGAAGGATGAAGTTCTATAGTGTGAGTACCTAGCACAGGGGGAGGACGCGGACACAGGACACGACGGCCAGTGTGGACAGTGCGAACAGGCGAGGCAGGACGAGACACAGGCTCACGACGCTGTGCAGGCGACTCAGACTACGCAGGGTAAGGAGAAGGCGCAGGCAGTAGGGAGCTAGGCCCTAACGGGAGGCTAGTAGAAGACGGAAGGGTAAGAACCTGGCGAAGCACAGAGTCAGGTGGCGGCAGGGACGTAGGCGACGGTGGAGCAAAGAACAGGCACGGCTGGGAAGAAACACCAGCTCCAGGGTCCGCAGCACTACCAGCACTGGCAGCTCGAGCACCCGAAGTGCGAGCACCTCCGGGACCAGCAGTGCTCGAACGACCAGCACCACCAGCTCCAGCAGCGGCAGAATTTCCAGCACCAGTTGCACCTCCAGCTCCAGCACCTCCAGCGGCAGCGTCTCCAGCTCTAGAACCTCCAGCTCCAGCGCCTCCAGTGGCAGCGTCTCCAGCTCCAGAACCCCCAGCTCTAGAACCTCCAGCGGCAGCGTCTCCAGCTCCAGAACCTCCAGCTCCAGCGACTCCAGGTCCAGTAACTCCAACTACGGTGTCCCCAGCTCTAGCAGCGTCGCGCCGAAGGCGAGTGCGCTGAGCGAGCCACTCGCGTAGCTGCTGTGGTGAGAGGGGCTCCCGCTGGGGAGACCGCTGAGGTGAAACACTAGGAGGACGACCAAGGGACCCAGCTCCACCAGGCTCAGCACCCCCAGGTCCAGCTCTCTCAGAGGCAGCACACCCAGGCTCAGCACCCCCAAAAGCAGCACCCCCAGGCTCGGGACCCCCAGCCTCAGCTCTCGCAGAAGCAGCACCCCCAGGCTCAGCAACACCAGACCCAGCACCCTCAAACGCAGCACCCTCAGGCTCCGCACCGCCAGGCTCAGCACCCCCAGGCTCAGCACTCCCAGGCTCAGCACCCCCAGGCTCAACACCCCCAGGCTCAGCGTCCCAAGGCTCAGCACCCCCAGACTCAGTACCTCGAGCGGGACCACCCCCAGCAGCACCTGAGTCACCAGTGACCTCAACTGGCTCAGCCAAGGGAGGAGGGTCTACCTGAGACACACCTGAAGGAGCAGGACCCTGAGGGGGGAGGGGGTCTACTGGAGGGGGACCTGGAGCGAGGAAGAGCGGCGGAGGGGGGAGAGAGGTAGTGCGGTGGGGGAAGAGACGGTAGAAGGGAACCGACTCGTCAAAGGTGACGTCCTGGGACGCGAAGACATGGTGCGCGGTGGGGTGGTAAAACTGCCAACCAGGCACGTCAGGGGGAAAGCCAAGGAAGACGCAGGGAATGGCGCGAGAGGAGAGCTTGCCCGCGGTGGAATCGCGGACAAAGGCACAGGAACCCCAGACCCGAAAACGCGACGCATCGCCAACCTCCCCCGTCCAACGCAGTGTGGGCGAGGTCTCCGGCAAGGAGACACGGGGCCAGAGGTTGAGCTGATGCGCAGCGTATCGGACCGCAAACGGCCACAGAAAATGGGGAGCAGCCGCATGGATCATGGAGGTACGAGCGACCTCCATGACTAAGCCAATGCGGCGCTCAGCAATCCCATTTTGTTGCGGAGAGGCCGGAAGCGTGAACGACTGGTGAATGCCCTCCGTGTCACAAAACGACCTCAAGAGGCCAGAGGAGAACTCACCACCCCTGTCAGAGTGCAAACGCAGGACAGGAAGGTCCGTGCGGAACCAACGGAACCAAGGTTCGCGCAGCTGGAGATGGGCAGCTCGGATCCAACGGATCAAGACAACAGGGACCTCACCCTTGCGGCGCAAGGGGAAGACCGTGGTGTAACGCGAGTAGTCGTCGACAACCAGCAGAAAGTATCGCTCGCGGCTCACTCCCTGGACGCGGGTTGGGCCCCACACGTCCATGTGGAGAGTCTGCAGGGGAGCAATCGTCGGGGGAAACGAGGAGGAGTGAGGAGCGGCGCGCTGCCGCCCCTCGACGCAAGGAATGCAGGGCGGGGCAGGCGAGGGTGGGAGGGAAGACCAGAGACCAGAAGACGCGAGTGCATACCACGAAGGCGTGGCAGAGAGGGGTGACCAAGCCTGTGGTGCCAGAGGAGAGTCTGGTGCGACAGGCGGCGACACTCACAAGGGTGACGACCTGAGCGGGCGCGGACAGCTGAGGGGACCTAGGAGCGTAGCGCGACACAGTGGTGAGGGTGTACAGACTGGACCCAGGCTCAAATGTGAACGTGGCAAGGTGACGGCCTGTCGTGGAGCAGGTACAGATCGCCACACGCTGTCCTCCAGGAGTTGAAGGTGTCAACCCAGTGATCCTGGAGGACAGCGTTGCTCACCAAGTTCTTAGAGAACGAGGGGAGGTGGAGACCTGTCAGTGAACCAGACGGGACCGCCGGACTCGGGAGCACAGTGGAGGAGTGTGCAACAACCGGTCCCCCAGAGGGGTCAGCCAACGAAACTGCAACCGGTCTGGTGAGTAGTGTGAGTGTGGTGCTGTCGCGAAAGAAACAGCGAGAAGCACCTGAGTCAAGTGTGAAGGTGTGCAAGGCCTCAGCAGGCGCAGTACCAGAGGGAGCAGACTCACTAGCACCTAGAGCAGCAGCCTCTATACCGGGGTCATACGGCGCACACAAGTAGCAGTCACCCTCAACACTAGTAGACAGAGCATACATTCCAGCAATGATAGCATCAAAGTCTAGAGCAAAGATATCAACACCAGAGTTAAGCAGTGCAGCCCAGCGGGGCCGCTCATAATCATCGCCCATCTCCTGACGCCAGGCGTCGTCTAGGCGAGAGAAATAGTGGTGCGGGGTGTGGAACTTCCCGCACATCTGACCAGCGCGAGTACCAGTGCGAATAACGTACGAGCAGCGACCACTACCACCACCCCTAGACGCAGCACGCTGAGCAAGCCACTCACGAAGTTGCTGGGGTGAGAGGGCCTTACGCGGACGCTGCTGCTGCTGCTGCTGCTGCTGCTGCTGCTGCTGCTGCTGCTGCTGCTACTGCTGCTGCTGCTGCTGCTGCTGTGCTGCTGCTGATGCTGCTACTGCTGCTGCTGCTGCTGCTACTACTGCTGCTGCTGCTGCTGCTGCTGCTGCTGCTGCTGCTGCTGCTGCTGCTGCTGCTGCTGCTGCTGCTGCTGCTGCTGCTGCTGCTGCTGCTGCTGCTGCTGCTACTGCTGCTGCTGCTGCTGCTACTGCTGCTGCTGCTGCTGCTCCAAAGCGATCACCACTGCCGCCTCCGCCACTCCCGCCGCTGCCAGAACCGCTACTGCTGCTCCCACCGCCACCACGACCGCCGCCACCACCACCCCCGCTGCCGCCGCCAACCCCGCCGCTGACGCTCCCACTCGCTCCACCACCACCACCACCACCACCTCCACCTCCACCACCTCCACCACCTCCACCACCCCAGCCACCTCCCCCACCTCCCCCACCGCCGCCACCCCCACCACCCTTGCCTCCCTTGCCCTTGCCGCTGCGGCGCTTCCCACTAGGAGCAGAAGCAGCCCCGACCTCCTCAATACCTAGGAAGTCGACAGCAGCGGCAGAGGCAACAGAGGGGGCAAGGGGGGAGGGGGAGCACCCCTCAAAGAAGGGCGTGCGAGGGGTGCCACGGGTAGCACCTACAGCGACTATGTTAGCCTCAGCTGCAAGAAGGTGCTTCCCTAGCACGTCGATGGTGAGGTCTGTAGGGGGGAGAGCAAGGAGGGTGTCCCGGACGGCACTAAGAGCGTCAGGGAGGCCGGTGACGATAAAGTGGAGAGTGATGTAGATGGGGGGCTCATTCTTGGGGAGAAAGGCGTCTGGGAGGGTAGCGCGGTAGCGAGCTGTAATAGATTTAAGGTTGGAGAGGAGGTTGTCTACCGTGGCGAAAGAAGACAGGTCGAGGAACAGGAAGGGTAGGAAGAGGCGGCTAAGGGCTGCAGTGGCAGGGGAAGAGTAGCGTGCAATAACAGCGTCATAGAGGGTTTTGGCTGTCGTCTCCTGGTCAAGGTGTTCGCATTCAGTCACTGGGAGGTGGTTGCGAATGGCTAGGCGGGCAGCAGCATCACGAGTAAGCCACTGTGAGCCGGTGGTCGCATCAGCGGTGGCTAGCGGGGCTGTAGAGGCACTAGTCGCTAGGTCATAGAGCGAAACACTGTCCTTAGCGTCACTGAGCAGGTACAACTGCTGATACTGGAGCCAGATATCGAATTTAACTGGGCGGCCGTCAAGATCAAATGAAAGGACGCGCAGAGTAGCCATAGCTGAGCAGCAAGGCGATGTGGCAGGGAGGGAGGTGCGCGAGGGTGTAGGAGAGACACACGCGACAGATCAGAGGCAGCGCGAGGGCCACAGAAGGCAGCACAAGGGCCGCAGAAGGCAGCACGAGGCCCGCAGGGGGCAGCACAAGGGCCGCAGGGGGGCAGTGCGAACTGCAGGGGCAGGGCGCGGGCGCAAGGGGCAGAGCGCGGGCGCAGCAGGCAGCCGCGGCAGCAGGGAAGGCGGCGCACGGGGCTGCGAGGCGCTCGACGTGCGAGCGCGGGCGCAGCAAGCAGGCGCGGCAGCAGGGCGGGCGACGCGCAGGGCTGCGGGGCAGCGGGGCGACGCATTGAGCAGCGCGCGCGGGGCTGCGGGCCTGGGGGGCGACGCAACGGGTAGCGCGCGCGGGGCAGAGCGGGTAGGGCAGCGCGCGAAAAAGAAAGAGGAAAATGCGCGCTGCAGCAGTGGCGCGCGGCCAGCAGGGGCAGCGCGACTCGTAGTAGGGCAGGGCGGGTGGGGTAACGCGGTAACCGTAGGCGATGTTAGGGTGGGCCTGAAAGGAACAGGTTCTAAGGTCCTAAGGACCTCCTGCTCTATACCATGTGAAGAAACTTAGGCTAGAATGTGTGATTAGGTCAAGAAGGGGGGTATAAGAAGAATGTCGAGAGGAATATATAGCCTAGATAACATAAACATGCATATAACTTGACACAGCATAGCTTTCTTGCAGGGCAGCCTTCATGGGGAGATCTGGCTGCGCCGCCCACCTGGCTTCACTGGGTCGTTTCCTGAGGGTACCCAGTGGAGCCTTCGGCGGCCAGTCTACGGTCTTCTTCAGGCACCCCGCGAGTGGTACGACACTTAGGAGTACACTTGCGGCTCTTGGGTTTGCTCCTTCGACTACTGACCCGTCGCTGTTTCTGCGCATCGACTCTTCGATGTTGCAGTTCTAAGTTCTCGTCTACATCGACGACTTGGCTTGCAGATCACCCGGGATAGAGCAAGGCACACCATCACTCTGACTCAGTCACTTATGGTGCACCAGGTCCTTACGCGCTTTGGCTTCCGGTTCTCCTCGCCACAGTCCACTCCTCTGCCTACAAGCGACTCTCTCTCAGCTCCACCTTCGGACGAGTCCGTAGAGCCGAGTGGCCCGTATCCAGAGCTTGTGGGCTGCCTCATATACCTGATGACCTGCACTCGACCTGACCTCGCATACCCTCTCAGCATCCTGGCGTGCTACGTTGTGCCCGGGAGTCACCGACCAGAGCAGTGGCGGGCTGGACAGAGGGTGCTGTGTTACTTGTGCAGTACATCGGGCTTGGGGCTCGTGTTTGGAGGACTGGGTTCAGTTGTACTCACTGGACACTCAGACGCTTCTTGGGCAGACGACTAGGCAGCTCAGCGGTCGTCACAGGGTTACACTTTCAGTCTTGGCTCCGATTCAGTTTCCTGGATGTCTACCTGCTTGTCTTCTGTTCTCAGCTTCTATTGTGAGGTTGAGATCTACACGGGGGCCATGGCTGCACAGGTTTTACGCTGGATGACCTACCTGCTTACCGACTTGGGAGAGCGGCGTCGTTCTCCCAGGTTGACAACAAGGCCATGATTGCCTTGTGTCAGAAGCACATGTTGGAGCATAGAACGAAGCATGTCACTCTGCGTTCAGGGCTCTTGCTAAGATCTGAGGGCATTTGATTCATCGGACATGTCCCCCGGGCATTAGGCATGGTTTTGTCTGATGCTGATTGGAAAATAAGATGAATCCAAAAAACGTTAGTCTGAAAATCAGACCATCATACCAAAATAATCTGATAACAAGAGCCATGTCTGCGTTACTTCCACGCACGAGAGTTGTTGCAGCGTGGTCAGCTTCGCATTGCTTACGTGGCCTCATGGGCCAACACTGCTGATATTTTCACCAAGGCACTTGTGTCTGGTGATCATCAGCGTTTCTGCACTGCTCTAGGCCTTGTGCCTACTTTGCCTCACTTGCTTACCGCTTGTCTTTGCCTAGTACTATGATCTATATATCTATACCTACTTGTTTACTCTTACTAGGGTGTGATCAATGTGGATGTACTTTCTTACCGTCCTCACCCGGATATAAGATAGTGTTGAATTCTAGACAGGGGTTTCTTTAATATGGGTGTTTTCTTATAAACGGAAGTTCCTTTTATAGGAGACCATGTTACCGGTATGAGATAAGACATATATGTCTTATAATCAAAACATAAAAACTTAATGTTGGATCAGGTCATAGATTGTACGTTTTCGCCTGAGCGCGCGCGAATTCATCCACACGATGACTCAGATGATGTTGTACCTGAGTCACATGCTGTGTCGGCAGGTTTTTCTCGTGATGTAGCGTATCCAAGAATGTTGGAGTCATCCCACCATTAGTTTCTGTGCGAAAGACTAGTTTGTGGGAGATAGTACAATAGTATGAGAGAAATCGTCACCTTCGTCATGAGCGTGCGGTTCGTCCGCTCAGCTACGCCCTGCTGCTGGTGTGCGTAGGGAAGAAAAATGTGGTGCTCGATCCTCTTTTGTGCCAGGTAACTCTGCATCTGGTTGCTCCTGAACTCTGCTGCGCCGTCAGATTGCCAAATTTTCAGCTTCTCCCCAGACTGCCGCTGCGCGTGCGCCAGCCAGAGGCGGAATACCTCGTAGGCTCTGTCGCGAGATTCCACGTTCACGACCCACACATAGCGTGTTCCAGCGTCGATGAAGGTAAGAGTGTACATTTCGTCGTCGACTCCGCAGTGCCTTACGTTCAGGAAGTCGCTGTACACCTTGTGCAGCTTGGGGTAGCGATTCGTCCCTGGCTCGAGCAGCGGGAACGGTTGGTGGCTCAGCGCAGCTTCGGGGCAGACGGTGCAGTTGCGCGGATGTGTCGCGCCTCTCACTTCGGTGCCATCTGGGCGCAGGAGCGCTCCAGGAGCGAAGACGCCTGCGTCGATGCAGTTTTTCAGCGTCGCGCGTGAAGGATGTCCGAGGCGCTGGTGCCAGAGTGCATCGTCAGCGCGAAAGCCGGAGGTGCGCATGTAGCGCGCGCGAGCTTCTTCGGGGTCTTCGTCAGGTACGGGAGCAGGTTCTGCTGCTGCTTCTTCTGCTGCTTCTTCTTCGTCGTTGGTGGTAGTCAGCATCAGCGCCAGAAACTCTCTGTCGCGAATCTCAGAGAGTGGGATGTTGGTCCCAAGAATGGTTACAGGGACGAAGGTGCGGTTCGGGAGCGGGTCCGTAGACAGTGCGACGCGGGGTTGACGGCTCATTTCCCCTGTCGATGGTTTCCCATGGGTCGCGACGCAGTGGGTTGTCAGGAGGAGGTAATGCGAGTGGAGCGTGGCGCGGGGGACGACCAAGAGGAACGACTGCAGGTGTTGCCTCAGTTTCCTCTGCTTCATCTTTCTCCCCCTTTTCTTCTTCGCGGAAAGTCCCCCAGCCGCTATTGTCGGCGCCAGTTGCGGTGCCCCATCCCCCGCTTGCATTGGCCCAGGTTCCACCGCTATTTCCCCATCCGCCGGTGTCACTCGTTCCCCATCCGCCAGCGCTTCCCCACCCCCCTTCATTGGAGGCACTTTCTTCCGCTTCGGCTCCCCATGCGCCGCAAGCGAATGTCCCGCGCGCTTCGGCGAGGCTTTGTTGGCGAAGCTCCTCGGCTTCGCGGCGCGCCAGTTCTTCTTCCTGTTCTATGGTAAGTTTCTTCGACGAGTCGGGCCGATGGGAGTAGATGTCCAGAAACTTCTCGTAGGTGTAGGGTCGAGGCACGCCATTGGCATCGAAGGTGCCGACGCCAGTTCCGCACAGCATGCCTTGGAGGTGTTATGAGGGGGGACCGATGAGAGTGTGCTCTGGCGTGCCGAACACGCCGCGCATGGTGACTTCAAGTTCAAGTTGCGACATTCCTTCTTCTGGAGGTGCATGGCTCTCTGCTTCGGCGATGGCGGCGAGTCCGCGGCCGGCAATTGCGCTAGTCGGCGCTGTTGGCGTGTGGCAATCTCTGCAGATGCCGTCTGGGTCAGGGTTATGCAGTGCCGTTTCGCGTGGGTGGGGATGATTCGGCAACCACGGTCTGCCGTCAGGGTGCTTCCAATCCCTGCGGTGGATGTGCTCGAAGCGCAGTGGCACGAGATCAATTAACTCGTGCGAGTCGCCGCTGCAGTCGGGAATGTCGAAGTCCAGGACATACACTCCGTTTTTGGAGTGCGCTCGTCCGATCTGCCTGCGGAAAAAGTTGCGTGATTCGTAGTGCAGCAGAATGTCGCGCGTCGCGCGATCCGTGCTGAGGTCGACGCCGCAGTCCATGAGCTGTGCGGCGGAGAGCAGGTTGAAGCGTACGTTCTGGACAATCAGCTCATCGTTGAGCGTGATGTGCGTGCGGCTTCCGCGTGCTTTGAGCACGACGATGCCTTGCGCGCTTGCGCGCAGGCGAGTGTTGTTAGCCACGGTGACGTAGGTGACTGTGGGGGTGGCGACGGCGTTGGATATGTAACGCTCGGAGCCCACCATATGCTGGCCGCAGCAGCTGTCCAGGTACCAGGTGTTGTAGCGCTTGTTGTCGTCACGTGCGAGCAGCGCCAGTCGCGGCGTGACGATGTGCGGAGTGTCAAACTTCAGAAATTGCTCGCGCGAGAGCCAATCAAGTGGCGCCACCCGCATATCAGGTACGTGCGGGGGACTTTCAAGCAGCGGGACTGGAAGATTCCAGTCCTGGTCGTCGTCGTCGGTGAAGTCGTGGCGCGGACTGAACGGATTGTTGTTGTTGAATGCGCCAATGGGGTGCGGTGCTGGCTCAGGTGAAGGTGAGCGCACGCGGCGACGACGCGACTCGCCCGTCATGGCCATGTTGCTCATGACGTTGCGTACTGGGGCAGTCGATGACGGCTGCTGCTGCTGATGCTGAACCGCTGGGTTCAGGTTGCGCGCGGGTGGGGGTTGATACCCCTGGGCTGGACGCACGTCGCCTCGTGCATCTTGTCGGCCGGACCAGTTGCTCGGAT